GAGAAGAGCGGCAGTAATGGCCGAAGCTACAGAGGCTACAACATGTAATTCGCAAAGCGCACCGCACCTTCGCCAATAACAAGGCCAAGGTGATTGCACTCCGGCGCCCAGACAGAACACTTACATCGTCCAGAAAGGCAACGGAGAAAATCATTCTCCAATACTACTCAGATCTCTTCGATAGCCACGTCCACCTGCCGTCATATGAAATATAGGAAGATGGACATATTGTACCACCGGTTTTACCTTTCGAAATCCGAGATGCCATTTCGTCGGTGAAAAATCGAACAGCACCAGGTCCGGACAGGATAAGACCAGAACACCTAAAGAACCTTCCGCCAGTCCTCGTAAACGCACTGACTCGGCTGTTTACACGTTACCTGTCTGAATGCTCTACTCAGTGGAAGACCATCAAGACCGTGTTATTGTTCAAGAACGGTGACCTGCACGATATCGGCAACCAACGCCCAATCTGCTTGCCGTCTGCCGTCTAGAAACTTTTCACTCAAGTCATCCTAAACAGGATTGATAGAGCACTAGACAAAGGACAGCCATGTGAGCAAGCATGGTTTCTAAGAGGATTTAGTACGATGGACCACATCCACACGGTAACACGGCTCATTGAAGTATTGCCAGAGTACAAAGGCCGCTCTGTCTTACTTTCATCGATTTACAGAAGGCCTTTGATTTAGTTGAGGTAGAAGCAGTCTTGGAAGCCCTTGATAGTCAAGGAGTCCCTACTCAATACATAAAGATTTTTCGTGCGTTGTACAAAAATTTCACAACCAGTATATCACCATTCTACAACGACATAAACATTGACGTTAAAAGAGGTATTAGACAAGGTGATACCATCTCGCCAAAATTATTTACCGCCGCACTCGAGAACGTCATGTGAACATTGGAATGAGATAATATGGGAGTGAAAATCGACGCTCGGCAGTTACACTGTCTTCGCTTTCCTGATAACATCGTCCTTATAACACCAAACATTAACTAGGCGGAACGTATGCTTAACGACTTTGATAAAGCCCGTGGAAAGATTGGTCTTCGACCAAATCTTACAAAAACGATGTTCATGAAGAACAGATTCGTTTCACATGCCCCATTCACGCTCAATGGAACGAATATCTCCGAATGCTTTGGTTACGCATATCTGGATTGGGAAATCAACATATTGAACGACTTAGCACCACAGCTGAGCAGAGAAAAGCGAGCGGCCTGGAGACTTTTCAAGGGCATCGAAGATGTAGTGAAGAAAACAAAAAACACCAGACTGCGTGTTTATCTTTTCGACTCAACGGTACTTCCTGCCCTAATGTGCGTGTCAGAAACCTGGTCGTTGTGTAAGCAGGATGAAAGATCTCTCAGCGTTATCGGACGCGCAGTCTAAAGGACGATGATAGGAGTATCCTGCTCCACACTAGTTAGGGATGGGATCTGAACTTCAGACCTGCGTCAACGATCAAAAATCAAAAGTGCTGTTCTATACGCCAAACAGTCGGGGATAAGGTGGGCCGGACACGTAATGCGTATGAATGACAACCGATGGACAGAGCCGTTAGTGGCTGGATTTCTCGGGATGTTAAACGTACTACAGGAAGACCACCGACCCGATGGTCAGAGTTCTTCACAAAGAGCCTTGAAGAAAGATATGATGCTCGACGAGTTCCTTGAGCGAGCAGAACCCACTGGGCTACTCTTGCACGTGGCAGGAAAAAATGGAAGATTTACTGCCGCCCGCTCGAGTCACTCGATGATCAACGGGACTAAAGGTGATACAGGGAATACAGGTGAAGTTTCGTGGAGTATAGAATGCCTGTATATAGACACTTTCTTCGGGTCTTCTTTGTGTACGTCTTAGAATACTGGTCGAGTCGATTCTTTTTGCAATACTAGAGTTAGCCGGACTAAGGCATTCCCACGTCCACTGGAGAAGAGCATTAGAGTGGGGGCTGAACCAGCGCGTTTGGTTCCTAATCGACTGCATTACTAACCACTGCTCTACTCTCCACCGTTTCAGATTTTGTAGGTACCAAAATCCACATGTCTTTAGAACTTCGGTGACCCCGGGAAATTTTAGAAAGTGGTTCATCTGATCCCATTTCTCCTATCTCAGGATCGTTGTGGCTTCATAAAATTAATTAAGTAGCTTCGAATTAAATTCTCACGAATTCTTTATTTCAAAGCAACAAACTCTGTTTATGCGCTTTTGTAATGATATACCTGACTAGCTGACTTAATTAGGTGTTCAGATAGTCCGCCCTCACACAGGGTTTGGTTGACAGCACCTCTGCAATTCATTACTCTATGTTGTTTGCAACTCTCTTTCATGAAATTGGTCGTATTCGCCGTCGATTGGGTTTCGGCATAAGGATCTTTTTTTTCCTTACTGAAATGTTAACTGATGGTTGAATGTCATTTTCGATGGAATCCCGACATGCAACTTCGATTCGCACAATTGAAGTGAAAACGGAAAACGTAAAATAAAAATATCACACTATCAATATGATCGGAGTCCCTGCACAAGAAGAGGATAATATGTTGATAAAAACGATAGATAACGTATTTACAAAGGTGTTAAAGTCTCTGGACTCACATTTTTGAATGTTTCGAGAAATTGAGCCAAACTTGGTCAGGTAGCGCTTTGTGCTAAACGACTTATTCTACCCTTTTCTGTATAGAACTTGTAGAAATCCTTCAAATAATTTCAAATACAGAGAAGAAAAAGAAAAGCGGAAATGTAGGTAGCTTCAACTAAAAAATAAGACAGTTTACTTACTAAACGCGTTAAAACTACTAAAGATACCTCGCATAATATAAGCGTAGCCAATAAGATCGAGAAATACACTAGAGTAACCGCTTTGTAGCGCTTGGAAAAACTGAAATTTACGAGAAAAAAAGTGAATCTTTCCTATTATATGGGACTTTCGCCACTCTATTCGTTTCCACATGCTTTACGACAGATTAGATCAAATGTATCAAGTCAGAATCTAACTGGAAAAAAAAATCAAATGAGCTGTTCTTCTCAACCTTTCGATGAATCTTATTGGCCGACATACTATTGCTGAGGAAATTCTCTGGGTAGATGCTGTCTCGTTCTTGATTCTCGTTAACTGTTGGAATTACAGAATCTGTGGTGTGCTTACATGGAGAGGGGAGTCGATGATTGAAGTGTTTTATGTGAAATTTCACCATTTTTTTCTCACAATGCTGGCAGAGTAGGTTCCCTTCAAAGCTTTCAAAAACTTTTTAACAATTTTAGAAGACTAATGTGAACAGTTGAAAAAGTTAATATGGAAGGAAAACCGCTCCAGGGAAACATTTCAGTTAAGCCCAACTATAACCGCTACCACACCAACTGTTAACGACGTAAACGTCACGACACCTAAGTATCTAATTTTAGAAATAAGCCAGAAAACAAGGGTGATTTTTTTCTTTAAGAGAACAATTTTAGTTTACTCGGCTTCTAAACCAGAAGTACTAAACAGCAAAACTTCGGCTATTTTTGGTCCTTTACCGTGTTACATCAAGCAACTAGACCCGACCACGGCAGTGAAAACCTCATCACGACAGTGAGTGACGGACGTTCGATACAGAAATGAAATTGTACACGAAAGGAGAAAATGTACATATTATTAGTGATTATATCATCTAAAATATTTGTCGCTATAAATCTAACTGTTATGATTTCTCCCTCAACGTATTTAGCACCTCACCTTCAAGTAACAGGAACAATAAGGGCTTGATAATAAATAATATGATATAGAAAAATAAAAGAATAATGCTTTAGGCGTTGGCCAATACTTGAGGGAAGTGCCATGCATTCGACTTCATTAAGGTGATGATATGGTGATTGGAGGTGATTGAATGCATATCTGGCCTCTACAATGATTTCTGGTGGCCTACCGATGTATCGAGCCAGTGCTACTACCCTGTCAGACAAGTTTGGTACCAAAGGGATGAAGAGCTTGGTGGGCCATGGGCGCGAGGATCGACCCCACGTTTGTGTTATAGGACGCCTCCAACCACTGCTCCATACGCGCCTAATAATATTATGTAGCAAATATAAGTGATAATCACTATGAACATCGGCTTTTTATAAACCTGTGCATAAATAATTGATATATTTGTTCACATGTATTTATAAGCTACCCATTTTAAGATGATGGCATGGCATAAGTTTTGTTGTTGTTCTTTGCTGTTGTTTGTTGCTGCTGTTATTGCTGGTGCTGCTGCTGCTGTTGTTGTTCGATGACTGATGTCTCGGCGATTTCGCATGCTTAAGAGCCGTGCTATTGCGAGTGCTACTCTTGTAGCAACCTTGGAACATCTCAAGGAGGACACTTCGTAAGAACATGTAAACAAATAAATTATAATAAATTTTGTACTGGCGTCTGAATGAAAACGTCGAGCTCCTTTTCCTCAAGGCACAACCTGCTCGGGAGATGGTTTCAGGCTGTTCATCGCAATTCGACACTCATAATATCCTCTCCCAATCGCAAAAAATGGACTAAAACATTAGAGATCTCGGAAATACACCCGTTTAAGTTGCAAATACTACTGCCACTCCAAATTTTGACGGCCCAAAAGGCTCTGAAACTAAGTAATTTCACGGTATCCATCCCAGGTAGAGGTGTGACAGTGGAATACATTTCCATTTTGAAATAGGGAGATCGAGTAGTTGTTATAAGTAGACGTTGTCCTTGTTCTAAAAGCTTGAAAAGGTCGTATCAAACATCAGCATAAAAGATAAAAAAAAAGCACTATCCGGCTCTGATAGCACCCGCTTTACTCCACACGCTATTAGCGATAGAGCACTGATCCAACTCTTTCTCGAGCAGAATGTTTCAAGCAAGGTCACGGAGAGTACTAATTGACGGAAAAGGGCATATGAACGCTGTGTCGCATCTCTAAGAATGAATTTCAGTGACTTGTCCACTTTTATACTATCTTACATATTATACAGCCATTATTACATGTTAACATGTTGGACTACACTATTCTACAGCATTTAACTCCGGGGAGATGATGCCGGAGTAGGAGATCTTATCGCATATTTGCTTGTAGAATGGTCGCAGTCGATGAAGACCATATGGAGTGAAATGAAGTTTAGAGTTGACGTAAGCGAGGAGCGTTCGCTCGTCGAAAGACTGGTAGGTGTTGTTGACGGTGAAAACCTGTGTGTAGTCAATCGCACTGCATTTCCCGCACGAACCCACGGCCTGCTCTATGATCGAACGGGTGAGCGCCAGATTCAAGGTCTGGTTAATGAAGCTCATCTGAAATTAGAATCCAATCTGAAAACGATGGTTGTTGGAATATGAGGCAGATCGTGCGCATTTGGTTTTAAAACGACCAATGTTGCCGATAGTAGGACGTGGAAACAATTTAAATACTGACTGTTTCTTTATTTCTTTACAAAGAAAGAAAAACTATACATATTCTTCCGCACATAACCAGATTCGTTGCTTCATTGCCGCTGTCGAACGGAAGAAGCTATTCAAGGCAAAATGGGCACGTTCAGAACACAAAAGAATAAGGAATGATTATGAGATTCTTTTCAACAGGCAGTAGCGATCACAACATCTTAAATGTCCCTGTGCAACGCAAAAGATAAAAAGAATAGAACTTTTAGCGTTGATCAAACCCTGAGGGATGCGCCATGCATTCGACTTCATAAGGTATCCTTGGAGGTGATTGAATGGATACCTGGCTTTTAGAATAACTCACGGTGGCCTCTCGATGTATCGAACCAGTGCTACTATCCTCCCAGACAAGTTTGGTACCAACTTATCGACTCCGGAGGAATGGAAGGCATTGTGGGCCAAGATAACTGTCAAAAAATGAAGCAAGCATTCTATGTGCATGGTCCCACGAGATTGGTCACTGGCGATGTGAGTATTGAAGTAGGTAACTCTATTTTGCGATAAGTCGAGAACATCAACAAGCCGGTNACGAGATTGGTCACTGGCGATGTGAGTATTGAAGTAGGTAACTCTATTTTGCGATAAGTCGAGAACATCAACAAGCCGGTATAAGTAGATTATTAACATTGTTGTGAGGCGCTATTTTACTCTTCATTTTGACGAGGCCAAGTTTTTGAAGGATTTCGTCTTCTCCAGAGTCTGGAAGGTCGAGTTGGTCGCAGGTTAGCTAGCCAACTCCCTCAACAAAAAATTTGTCTAAGCAGATAGCTCTATTTTACGAAAGGCTTTCGGTCTGACGTTTTGCTATAATGTAACAATATCTCTATACTCATCTCCATCAAGATTTGGTGGCGTTACCTCTTTTAGGATTACGGGTAAGATGTCATTTTACCACAGGAGGAGGATAGAACTGTCTTTGGGTAAGTTGCCCGCTACAAGGATGCTGAGCCTAGACTGCCACGTGTATGCATGAGCTCTTTTCTCCCACTGTGGATTGGTGTCGTTCTCATGAAAATCAATAAAAGTCGTTAAAATATAAAATTCGTCAGTGAAACCTACTAATTTGACTAGGACATATAGTAAACCTAGCATTTTGTTTTATGTTAGATCATGGCCACTACAAAAAGTGCGAAAGCAAAAGCGCACTTGGTCAAGAACGTTTCTCACTCCCAGTGCTGCAGTAGGATTGAAATCTATGTAGTCGTTCTGTCGAGGAATNAAGCGCACTTGGTCAAGAACGTTTCTCACTCCCAGTGCTGCAGTAGGATTGAAATCTATGTAGTCGTTCTGTCGAGGAATCGCATTGAGTACGAAGATGCGGTCAGTGACCATTTGAGATAAGTCGCGTAGAACAGCCGTGGCGTTATTTACTGTCATGGCTATCGTTTCATTTGAAGTCGTCATAGGCAATTCCATCCATTTCAGATACCTTATAAAGATCTTTCGCTCGTTGTCTTGTATGTGCTCAGTGAAATTATTTAACAAGAAGCAAGGAAAATGCCTATTTGAGAACAGCAGTACTTATACACTGTTGAACACAAGAGAATGAGATATCATCACTTGGATTTTATTTGATCTCGGTAGTTCCGTTAGTCTTCCATTGAGATCTTACTGCTTACCTAGTAAGGATAAAAAGCACATCTGGATTATATTGACGAACAGCTTCGTGGAATATCCTGCGAGAGTCGCGGCAGTGATCATATTCCATGCTTACGCAGAGAACTTCACATGCTGAAGCGCTAATGAGATTTAACACATAAAAGTTATATAAAGGAAGCATAATCATATAGCTTCCGGTGCACTTAGTAGGCGAGAACTGAGGTTTCAGATTTTGTGACAGGCCAATGGAAACAACAGAAACCTCCGAAAAATGGCTGTATACTAAATTTTAAGTGGGAGATCTACCTGGCTGTTGGAAGATTTTCACCTCGACGTCAGAACTACTGCAGATTTCGTGTACAATGCGACCCTGATTTGCTGCATAACTATTTCCAATCACTAGAATCTTGTGAGCCGAAGTTTGATTCTAAAACGAAGCGTTGCAAAATTGAGTTCTGAGAAATAAAATGCTTAGCAAGTACTACCTCGGGCGAAAGGTCGCACCATCCCCATGGGGCGGATTTGGTGCGATAGGAGCATTTGCTATAGAATAGCTGACTCACGTCATTCATCCAGCTAAACTCGTTTATTCGAATAATCTCTTCTGCAAGCGTTGTTATGAATTTAGAAGTATTAGGAGATTTCCCAAGATTTAAGCAATGATAAAACAGCCTGTGAAAAAAAGTGACCGTACCTATGCTTAAATTCATCCGACTAAAAGGAATATCGCACATTTCGGGTGATTTGAGAATTTTCACCGTACATGCAGGTGTGAACAATGCGTTGATCTGTTGAGAATCGTTGACGAAAAGTCTCTTCGGCATTTCGTTCATATAGAACGCAGCGATGACCGCATAGAAGCATAGGATCAAGTAGAAAATAGTTTTCATGTTAGCTCTTAGATATAATTTTTCGAAGGTTTCCGTCAGCAACACCGATGCAATCACAGCAGTCACAACACCCAAGTGAAGACCTTGAGAGCGACAAAGGGATTAAATTGTAGACAAATTTAACACTTCGGTGAAATAAATAGGGATTTTCAACTTATTATTTACTGCCTACTGTTTTTTAATGACAGGGTATATTGCGAAATATAATTTCAATGATGCTGAGATATTTGCAAAACTCCGGACCGCAGGTGCCTGCGGTGGGGAACGAATGCGCTTTGTCTTTTCCGGAGAATAACGCGCTCACCACCACACCATGCGGGTCCTTCGTTTCGCCTGTCTCTCAGCTAGTTCTATAGATTTCTGCCATCAGCGATCACCCAACGGCGAGATTGATCTGGGGGATCCAAATTAGCAACGAACCCTGTTATGCCGAGGCTGTAGTTACAATCACAAATTGACTTATTATTTACTGCCTACTGTTTTTGAATGGCAGGGCATATTGCGAATAATAGGGAATATTTACGGCGTAGGAGAAATTATTTTAGAACAAAGTTTTATGAGGTACAGATGAAAAGGAATAGAAAATTGTGCGTCAGTACGTCAATGTTTCATATTATGGGTTAACATGTAATCCGTGCAGTCCGTTAGTGCGGTGAACATTTGGAAATCGCTTTTAGAGCTGTGATATTTTTCTGCGAAAGAATGAGCGCTCTCTTGCTAAACTGTACGTTTCGTTGTTTGTATAATTCCAATGGAATAAGGGTGACCTGTTTAAACTCACTAATTGTGCTGTTAGGTAATTGCATTTTCACAATAATGTAAATCGGCCAATGGATGAGATATAACGAATAGGACAACTTTCCCATGTACGTGAAACATTTCCACGAGAGGATCGAAGTGTAGCCCGTCGGATGGAAGAAAATGAGACCAGCCGTCAGAAATGTGCAAAGGATTCTATGACATACCAAAATGATACAAAATAGCATTAATGCTCACGAAGAAAAGAAAAAGTAAACTATTCGTTACCTTTTCATTAGTCGAGGAGGTAAAGGAAATGAAATGAAATTGATAATCACAGTGGCTATCAAGTGAAATCGGTGAATGTTTCGACTAAAGCAGTTGCTTGCAGAATCTGGATAACAGTGGAATAAAGAAATTAGTTAAAAACCTCGGAAAAGGAAGCAATAGAACAGCTAGGAATACCTAGGTTGGGCGATTTCTGATCCCACTGCTGAACGAGGACACCTGAACACCACAGTTTTCTTTTCAAATAAAACGTTATTGCGGGGTGAGTGGGGAACAAAGGTCTGCTTTTGTACACACTCTCTATAGCTTTCGAAATCATTCCGTGCTAATGCAGGTCCCTGTCCTTTTCTCCCATCTAACGACTACATTCGCTATCTTTGCATATTTCACCCACAGTAGAAAATTCACGATTCAACTGCAACCGCTGCTCGGATAAATGCTGAGAAAATTTTTTCCGTCATTGTTTTGACAGTAACGAAATAAAAAATGGGCAATTCTGTCGAAAAAGATAATTCGTTTGCACGTTTTTGGATTCCTAAGCAAAGCCGCGGATAGTACAGTTCTAACGAGGACCTGTTTGCCAGGATATTAGCCAGCTGGCGAGCATCAACAACAGAAAACGTCAAGACTTTTGTCGATTTCCAATCCGGTGCTCAATGCAGGAGTGTCCTTTTCGCAACCGTTTAGACAATCTGACTCTTTTCATTTCTACCAGTTTCTCCTTCGTGTAAACGGCGCTGGCGGCGCATCTATTTTCTTGAGTTGTAAGGAGCTTGTAAGCACTACTTTAACAGTGTCGCTAAACGATTGCACTAAGATGCAGCCTTTTAAAAGCTGTCACTCCTATGAGCACCACGAAAGCATGCTCAAACTCACCTGAGATGAATTGCCACAGTCTGGCATGAACCATGTTGAATGCTTGTTCTTCTGGAAGGTAGATGTGAAGAAGTATAGAAATGGAACCTAGGAGACTTGCTTTCAACAGATATCTCAAAAAATATCCAGCGAATAAAAATTCTAAAAAGTGGCCAGAAAGGGCGAAAATGCTGTCAAAAACTTGAAAGGAAGGTGAAACCGACATGCTATATTGCATGGATACTTATGCCTCCAGACCTCACAAGTTGTTCTACGCTTAGCACATTTACAACACATTCCTTACGATCGTCGTCTGTTGTAACGGTCCGTTTCAAGAAATGGGTGTATGAAGATCAATTCGTGTCTCGTAAATTATTTTCAACTGTCAATATGGATAGTTAATGTAAACCACTCACTCGGTTTCCCAATCTCGGTGGTCGCACGAGTCTTAAATCATTATGGAAACGTCACCTTGCTGCTCTT